TCCGTTTGACAGATCTGACATATTTGTGTGCAGACCGTTGGTTCCTTGCCTCCCAGGCAGATGCACTCCGACTTCAAAGGAAGCTCCCAGTTAGTCGACTCTTACGACATGCTTTTGAGGAGTCAGTGGGTCTATTCTTGTTTTCCCTCCAATGGGGCCCCGGAACCCACGTGGGGAGAGCACATCTGTCTCAGCATTGGTTATGTTTGCCGTCGTTTTCTTACTATCTCCAGAATAGCATCCTAAACGATCAACACACAATGGATAAGTGAATAAATAAGGAATTGAAATAACTGCACTTGGGACATTCCCACATGTGCTCCATCCCCTTCTTCAGTAGCCAACGAAGAGCTGACATGCAAACAGTACTAGCTGCAACCTGATAAAAAGTTCGCCTGTTTCCCCTTCAGTGTTAAATGTCTTCCAGGATCTTTACACCCCACCCCGATCTTTTTGAATTAAATCTTTCAGTGTATGTATTTCCTATTGGGTCTTTTGCGCTGTCTATTTAATCACATTGGGTGTTCATCACATCCGCTTTATTATATAGTAGCTCACCACCCAGATGTGCGGCAGTAGCTTATCTATCATCACCTAGCACAAGTGCATAGAAAATCCACGATGGCCGGCTTTATTTTCGTCTGTTTTACTTCCACTCGCCGAATAATGTACTTAAACAAAAGTTTCCCGCCTCCAAATGGAAACATCCCAGTTGTACGAGGTGCTGTCAATACCACTTGTGACCAGTGTTAATGGTCTGGCTTTCTTTCCCTTTGGAGACATAAATGTCAGTGTGTCTGACGGCTACTGCCAGTTGACACCATAATCACTGTCAGCGACAGGGCGTTTGTTAGTGGTTCTAGTGGAGACAGTCAGCGACAGGGCGTTTGTTGGTGGTTCTAGTGGAGACACTGTCAGCGACAGGGCGTTTGTTGGTGGTTCTAGTGGAGACACTGTCAGGGACAGGGCGTTTGTTGGTGGTTCTAGTGGAGACAGTGTCAACACAGCTAGCAGAACTTCCAGTGGTTTATGCCAGATTAAATGCAGATCGATATCAAGTATCATCGGGTGTTTCTCTGTGTGATGTCTTGCTTGGGTAAAATGTACTAAGCATCAGCCACGTGCAGTTATAAAGGGGTTAAACAGATGGAGATGATACGGCGGGAGCTGCATGGGAAAGCGAAGCATAGAACAACTTGACCTGAGTTGGCCTATGCTCTACTGAGGGGTAGAAAGACAGAAGGAAAAAAAGGGGGGGGGGAGAGGGGGTTCGGAGAGCCTACAGATGTGTCTAGAAGAGATATCAATCCCAAACGAGAGACTAAACGCTGTGAAGCTTTAAATAATATGTGTATTTCACTGAAAGAACTGCTGCTGACCACGGGTGGACCAGATGCAGCTGCGAGATAGGAAAACCATGCGTGAGCCACTCGTCGTTATATCAGCTAGAACAGAATAAGAGTTGTTAGCCTAAAACACTTGGAGAACATACTCAGGAGAAGATCAGAGAATGTATAGTCATGTGCGATAAAGACGATCTGTAAACGAACAAATGTATCTAGAAGGCTGTGATGGCTATTAAGACCACAATCCCGTTTTCTGGGAATTTAAAAAAAAAATGATTGCAGATAGGCTGAGGATCTGACGGCAAGCAAGCACATTAAATAACATGTGGCAACAGCGGTTCTGAAGTCCTATACTTAAACTGTGGAAGACGTGTCTGGTTCTTATAAATCTCACCAAGTAACTATCGCCTTGAAAGGCGATCATGTGCCAACTAACCCAAAACTCAAACTCTGACCTCTAACAAATGCATTTATATCAGGAACGAACCTGAACTTAATGCAAAATTTCAAATTGTTGTGAAATTAATTTTTCACATTCAAAACCCAGCTAGAAATACTGAACTGATAAGATATAAAAACATAAATCCCCACACAATAAAACCCGAGACTTGTTAATAAGGAAACAATTTAACACACGAATCTGCCTGCACCGCTCCGAAAGACAGACATGTCAAGTGTACAATAGACGTCTGCCAGTTTAACGGTTCATTTATTGTCGATGGATTCATTGTTTGACTCTGTGCAACTGTCCTAGAAATCGGAGAACCATTAAAGAATCTGTGACAGATCTGTAGCTGGTCGTTCTGACGAGCTGGTAGCCTATGGATGTCATGGCCGCTAGTTTGATTTCTGAAAATAAGTTCTAGAGGGCGACGATTTTGATCAGAAATCATTGAGGTTCCCACTAGAGCTGTACTATCTGAGCTCTTGGTTGATGACTGAAGAAGGGGACAGGACATTTTTGGAATTATCAAAGAGTGCAGTGATGTCAGTTCTTGATTCATTTATTCACCATCACTTTTTTAATTTGATCCCTGGGCATTTTAGTGGAAGCTGTAGTTTGTGTTTGGTGAAATGTTTTTAACAGGTGACTAGTCCTTTTGCTGACAGACCAAGCCATATAGGTAATGCAGGGAAGTCAGTCATTTTAACGTAAACTTGGAATTACAAACCGATTGAAGATATCAGGAATCTCCTGGTACAGAGAAGTGCTGGACACATCATGACAATTACAAACTGCAAGTGAGACCACAAAAATTATGGAATGACAGCACCATATCAAAAAGACAACGACCAGTAACTTTGAAGCAATGTTTATCACCTGCACGACTACCTTTCTCAGTAAGATTTGTGAGTTGGTTACATTCAATGAATGCGTGTGAGGCTGCCTCCACTCTGAAAACAGATTAAAGGCCAGGTTTTGTTGCATCAAGTGTCGACTATTAGATTTTACTACAAACACCAACGCCTCCTGCCTCTACAGCCATATGTTTAGATAATAACCTGTAAATTATCATGAATCATTTTAAAGCCATTCTTGAATTTCTGATTCTGCAGCCCTTGCTGGCTGATCTCTGCACACTGTCCCCATTTTGATTCCAACCCTACACAAGTCAGATTTTTGCTCTGACACCTTAACCTAGTTGTCTTACCAGAAAACATTCAGAGATAATGATACACTTTAGCCATATTTAAGTCTGAACAAAACATGGAACTCCTAATTATAGTTTTAAAATCAACAAATTTATTTTTAATTCTCTCACTTCAGTATTAACACCCATCAGAAAGTTTAACAACCACAAGTGGCATTAGGAAACAAACGCCTAAGGAAACTGACAAACATAAAAACAGACGAATTAGAGAAATAATAAAAAAATAGGCAGGAAAACACATGGCTACAGAGAACCGACATTCAGAACAAACATGGGAGATTTGCTGTTGACATGCCGGTTCATAAAGGCAACACAATTGGATGCACTGTTGATGATTTCTTCACACTTGTATCACTACCTGCCTCTCACTTGCCATAAACTTTCCCAACCAGTAAGGTTGTTAAGTTAAGAGTTATGGCCACACACAATGCAAGGTCAATTACTCCAATACATTACTGACAAATATAAGCTAATAACTGTCCATATGCTAAACATATAATGCAGAAGGAATATGCCAAACTGCCCTTATTAAACCACTTTGTCAGTGTAGGCAGGGGCTTCTCTGAGCCTGCGAATTTATGTCGTATAACTAGTGCTATGCAGGTGAAGATTTTATTTGGCCCCAGACAGAAAAATCCCCAGCCTTACTGAGGTTTCAAGCATGGGTCTCCCAGTGTTTTAACTGTTCGGCCAGCCGCTCCTCCACAAAATCAATCGCTAAAATATAAATCAACATACAAAGTCACATAAATATTCATGGATGACTAAGACACAAGACAATAATCAACTATGTGCCACCTGCATAACATGACAATGATCAGTCATTCGACACTCCAACTTGACTGCACATAAATTGCCACAAAACTACCCCAGTCCCGCACCAGTGCAAATCACAACAAAATGTCCATTTCTGTCCCTATTAAACATAGTCCTAGCAAAATCTTGGAGCTCGCACACAATCATACAAAGTATAAATGCATAAGGCAGCACTAATGTCCCCACACCACAAATGCAACAACCAGCCAACAACGAAAGTTGACACTGCACCCGCAAATTTAATTTACATGTAATCCGTCACTGCCCATTGTTGTCAAATTACATGGATAAATCATCAAACAACCAAGCTTGGCTAACTTAGAATATCCAAGCATGCCAAAAAAGGGAACGGGGCTCCCACTAATAAATGAGTGAACCAACTGCTGTATGTCTACACAAGAAGCAAACTGGCACCATGGAGGGCTGCAAAGATAGTTTTATGAAGAGAATGCCAGACAAGAGAGACAAAAACTGGGCGACAGGGATTGAGGACAAGCTCTCAAATAAGACATGTGCATCCATCAACTCCGACAGCAAAAGTCCATCTCTGGCCTTCTCGTGACAGAAGTGTTTTATAAAACAGAAAAAGTGGTGATGTCAAGTACCTGGCACCAAAAACACAAACAGCTCTTTGACCAGTCTACCCTAATAAAACAAGGTGCTGAAGTCTGAGACAACCAACCGGAAGGTGCACCACAATCAGGATGCCACGGAAATTTGTACAAATTAGAAACGTTTTGTAAGGCTCGCCCTGAGATGTAGGAGGAGTTAAAAATTTAAAAAACTTACTAGAGATCCTTCTCAGATGTCCTGTGGAGCCAGGGGACATCTGACCAAACTAAGAAGATCAGGCCTGTGTGCTTTCTCTATTAGGGCAACCAGACAAGATATCTAGGTACTTATTTTCTGTGCCGTCTCTCCCTACAAGTTTGACACCTGTATATTAACTCTTTCAGTCCTAAGAAACACATCAGACGTTCACGGTTTCCTACCTACAATCCTGATGAACGTATGATGCGCCGACTCACCTCTCTTTTGGCTACCCCTTAGGCCTCTGATGCGAAACCCCCAGGACTTAAAGAGTTCAGTATCACAAAAACCCGGTTTATAAAGCTATCTGAAATCCCACAAAAGTCAATGGGCAACAGAAGAAGCCATTTAATAAACCTTTAAAAACAATCATAAACTATTCCTTTTTTACTTTCTTTGCGGGTGGTGGTTTTGTTTTTCTTCTCGTTCCTGTACTTTTAGTTTGAGTCGGTGGTGTTTTTGTCTGTCTGGGAAAGCGTCTGGTCCTTTTTTTAGTGGCAATTTTCTCCTTTGTGGCACCCTCTGTATCAGCTGTCTCTTCTTCTGCTGCAGCCTTCTTAACTTTTGGTTTCCGTGTGGCCACTTCCGGAACTTTCTGTGAATTAAAGTAGAAATATAAAACCAGATAAATTCATCCATCTAAACAGCTAAAAGTTTTAATAAAAACTTTCAAAATGACTCTGTTCCAAACATCTGTTTTCTTGAACTTAAACTAATGCATGAGCAAAAACTCATAGGAGGTTTTGTTCTGGAATGTGTAGAAGTGGACGAACAACCAGAACAGAACTTTCTACTGGAGGTTACAGCCAGAGTCTGCTAAAAAGAGGAACTGACATGCTCGGGCAGATGGACAACTTTGAAAGAAGCCCCCAATTAGTTGACTTCTTTGACAGGGTGGAAAGGCAGTGGGTCTATTCTTGCCCCCCCCCCCCTCCCAATGGGGTCCTGAAACCCACACAGGGATATAAGATCACTTAACCATAGTACATATGGAAAGCAACTTCAATATGCATGGCAACGTCTTCCACCTAACCATACATTATCAGATTAGTTTAAGGACGGGGGCAATAATAAATGGCAGTAAATTACTGACATTGAATGTGTATTGCTGAAAGGCGCATATACTGCAGTCTAGCTGTGATACGTTTCGAAGAGAGGCAGCTGAAAAGCTATGCTGCACTACGAACCATAACATCCTCATAACTTACATATATTAGATGAAAAAGCAGACTACAGATATAAAAAAAAAAAAAAAGAAAAACTGAAATACGCACCATGACATCGTCCAACTTGATGTCGATACCCATGTCCTTTAATTTATTTAATTTGCCCTGTTTCCTGCGGGCGGATCTCTGCAGCGACTCCTCAAGCTTCTCTGGGTCTTTGGCACAATTATGCTGCCTCTTATTCTTATGGTTAGGTTTCCACTTGTAGGAGTGGAAGGTGTCCTCATGCACCTCACTCAGAGGCTTGTACTCGCCTGTGGGTTGTAAATGAGTAAATAATTAGTAACAAAAAAGACAGGTTAGAAACTGAACATCAATGTCAATGGGGGGGGGGGGGGGGGGGGGAGGAGGAGAGGGTAAAACATATTTATCCTTTTCTGTGGAGATACTAAACATATTTCTCTCCTCCCAGAGAGGCAATGTAATCAGATCACAGAAGTGAAATAGAAATCAAAAATAGAATAAAAAGTATACAAATACTTTCAACATAATGCTAATAATAAACTGAAACATACACACAAAAATATGGTGCCTTCTTAATATTCAACCTCAAACAGAGAAAATCCACAGGTCACAGGACAGTCTAATATTTCAGCGGGTGGTACATAGGCTGCATGCAGCCATGTGACCTAGGCTACACTCACTTATGGGACGGTTGAAGTAACGACCAGGTCTAGATGTTTTAAGGTTGTTTAAAACATAAGACAACCAGGAAAACCCGTCTTACCACCCCCTAACTAGTAAACAGAAACATGTAAACTAGATATATGGCACTTAAATGTACGCATCTTCTAAGTCCACCGCTGAAAACCATAAACATTGTAGGCTAAACCCACAGCATTAAACCATGTCTCTTTATTAGATTTTCAAGCAATATTTTTTTTATCCAAAGGCTTGCCTAGAGTCTTTTGCCTGGTGATGATTCTGCAGCTTTGAGTGATCTTTGTTCAGCTTTGGCAGTGGTAATAATTGTGGAGCCATTCTTTTTTTTACCTGGCCACTTTGGATGCTGATGTTAAATTTCCTTGACAGATCTTTCATTTCTGCATCTGACATCGTCAGCATATCATACTGTATGCCGCCAGAGCCTGGAGCAGTCCTGGAAGACTTCTTGAGCTATGTTCAAATGGTATCTGCTGTAACTGTAATCTTGGCCTAGCACACTGCTCTCACAACGCATAGAGAGTGTCATCTTAAGCCTCTTCTTTCTGGTCAATTTGCTCTATGTAGTGTGCAAGAAAGGCTCTTCCTTTGTCTGCCTCAGTTCTCTGCCATATCAGGTTGTGTTCTGAAAGCCTGGGATACCGCCCATCATGCGGCACCGTCTATGCTTAGTTGAAGGCACCAGAATGTCACAAGATATTTTTTGGAGCACATCTTCTTGCAGAATAATTCCATTTCGCATTCTTGGCCTGCTTCGCACATGATTTTAAAAATATTGTGGTTTTTTTTTGTTCACCTCATCTTTCCTTGCTCTTTGTCACACCACGACAGCTTGCCTATTGTCTAGCGACACTTTTTTGACTTCTTTATTCCACAATAGTGGCTGCGCCCATCTTTTCTGCCTTTTGCAGTCAGCAATTCCACATCGTCAGAATGAAAGACCCAGGAGCTAAGATGGGCATAGCCAAAAGCGAGAGACGAGGCATATTAACAAACTTATCAATCAACAGATAACTAGCACTATTAGTTACAGGACGAAGAGGTTTATGTTGAGGGAAGGATATAAGCACCTGTGGACATGTCCAGAGTGCAATGATCATTTCCCAATTAACATTTTTTTTAAAGTATGGTTTGCGAAGATGAGGATCTATTAAAGGATCTGCTGTACATCAGGGAAACAAGAATAAGCAAAGGCAGCGGTTCCAGAATGCGATAATTCTAAAAAGTTAGTTACATGCCCTTTCCATAATACCTTACAAGAAAAAATGCCAAGATTTGAAAAAGTTAGTTATATGCCCTAGTAACATGAATGCAAAGATCTTAATTAAAAAGTTAGTCATGAAAATTTAAAAGGTTAATCAAGTGATTTTCAAAAGTGCTAAAAGATTCTTTTAAAAAAAGATATGTGCTTTTTTTTACAACCTTGCAAACCAACCCTTACATTTACTGCCCTTTCTGTGGTTTCACAAAGCAAAATTGTTTTGGCCGGTAAACAAACAAACGAAATAAAGATACAAGTAGGAACATATTGAGGGATGGACAAATAGTAGTTAGAATGGACAACAGGATGACTAAAATTATCAAGGCCACTTACACGGGCAAACATTCATTTGACTACCCTTGGGAGTAGAAGTGTTATTTATCAGTACCTGCATGGGTAAGAAAAGAGTGCCTAGACATTCACATGGAGATAAAGCACTACCAAATGACAGCACAATGTTAAATACAGCTAAAGATGTAAAAGATCCATCAATGCTTCTGATCTTCAAATGTAGAATTCCACAACAAAATGAGTAATGTGCAAGTGGCAGCCAGTGTAATACCAACCCTCCTTAGTTTGTGAACCCTGTCTTGTAAGAAAACAGTATACACTGAGAGATAAATAAATTCAGACTGGTACCATCACATGGTTTAAATAAATGCTAGTGAAACACAAACTTCCGCAATCACACAGAAAGATCTACTGCCCAGAAGTTACGTGTGAAAAAACTGCTGAAGTGATCAAACACAACTGCCCAGACATTACATGTGAATCAACTGTGAAGTGATCAAACACAACTGCCCAGACATTACATGTGAATCAACTGTGAAGTGATCAAACACAACTGCCCAGACATTACATGTGAATCAACTGTGAAGTAATCAAACACAACAGCCCAGACATTACACGTGAATCAACTGTGAAGTAATCAAACACAACAGCCCAGACATTACACGTGAATCAACTGTGAAGTAATCAAACACAACAGCCCAGACATTACATGTGAATCAACTGTGAAGTGATCACACAGAGCTATAATCTAACCCAAACCAGGAACAGTTCACATAATACTAGCAATATAACAGGAAAATAGGTATACATCAGCCTCATAAAAATACTTACACTTTAGGAGTTTATTGAAAAATAAATAATTCTGACAGGTTTCTGCAACAGTTTTGGCAACAGCAGCATACCGGAATTTCACAAAAGCATAACCTTTGGAATTTCCAGTCTGAAAATTGAAAGAAACAAATAAAACAACATCAATTAACAAACTGAAATTTTTTATTTACTGCTGAGTGAAGCATAAATCCTTCTTTAGTAGTGATATATGTGTTTCAATGTCAACTCTTTTGCCTCATGGCAGCTAAAAAAAAAGGTCATAAATCTATCAGAATTCCAAGGCAAAATAATCAAGCAAATATAACAATTTTAAACAGTTGACTAGTAAATGTGTTTTAAAATTTAATTAGCTACCTTGTTATTTACCTTTTTAATCCAGAAAAACGTAGCAAATAAACTTAAAAATGTGTTTTGCTTGCAACTGTATGTATATCTGGCCTATTAAACTGTGCAGGCCCAAACAAAACCAACAGAATCTGGCTACTATTTTCTGAGAACACACCACTACAGACATGGCAATATTTACAGGACTGTGTCATCACAGGAAGTGACTAGATTTAGACTTCTCGAGTGTGAAAGGGTTAGGTCTACCAACTGAGTTCCTAAATACATCCGTACAACGACAAGCCAAGCTTCACCATCAATTACCACTACTTTAGATACCTCACATAAAATGTACAATGTTCATTAACACGCACCTTCCCATATCCTCACTTGTACAGCCAATCATGTACTCAAACCCATCTGTCTATTAACCATTACATCAGTAAATCATGGATTTACTTACACAAGCATTCACTCGCTCGCACACATTTGACCATTAATCATTCGCTTACTACAGCTTACATCTCACACACACAACTCCAGTCAATCACCCACACCCAACAGTACAGATGTTTCTTACAACCTTGAGCAGCAATCTTTGACTCACCTTCTTTGACCTGGACAGCTTTACTGCTTGAACACTCCCAAATTGAGAAAAATATTTGCGGAGCTGTCGTTCGAAAAAACCATGAGGTACGTGGCCGATATAAACAACACCCGGCTGTCGGTCGTCATCCACAACTTGGGGCTGGTGGAAACAAATAATGACAATGACAATGAACCAGCAATTTAACAATTATTAAGATTTGGCACTGAACCAACCAAATAACATTCTGATGAATCTAGAAGGAATCATACAGAATAAACTGCCTCAGTGTGGATTCAAGGCGCCCATTTGTGGGAGGTCTCACTCACTGTCAAAGTTGGAGTGCATCTGTAAAGGTAAGAGAATCAACTTTATTACACTAGGTTAGCCTAAATGGCTCAGTCTTTCTTTGTAAAACAGCCAGCTGCCTGCAGAAAACAATGCACAAAGCAGGACCTCCGGAGCTCTGACCATGATCTCCATAAAAATTGCACCCATGAACTGAACGGTGCCACTTTGAAGTAGACCAGAGCGCAAGGCAAACGGTTTGACCACTTCGCCACGGAGACCTCTAGATGTGTGTGTGAAAAGTGATGAAGCAACATCAATCAGTTTGAACTGTGACCTAGAAGCAGTTTTAGTTTTGGTCCTAGACTGAACACTTAAACTTAAAGACAGAGTTCGTGTCAACATGTTTCCTGTTCCCAAATGCAGGGCACCTGATCATGAGGTTTAACTTATCCTAATTAATATAATCATAATTATTCTAGATAAATAAATTATTTGGCTATAAAAAAAATTTATATGCATCATGTCATATGTATTGTGTTAGGGGTTGAAGGCTCCACTGGAGATTTTGTTTGGGGGTGGCGGGAAGACCTAATCAATGCCCCCGCTTACAACTAAATAAAACCGTTGAAAACGAGAAATTATTAATTAAGGTCTGCAGACTGCAATCAAGAGCCGTCGGTCGGTCGATTGTCGCAGAAATGGCAGCAAACACAGAGGAAAAGTGGGAAGACGTTTAGAATACATAATTGTCAGATATATTTACTGATAAGCCCACAAAGCAACATCAACAGATGTAGACTAGGGGGTGAGGTTTGTTTTGCTCCACACCTCCTGAACCAGACCACGCGGATAGGATTGCTTTTACGACTACGAATATAACAATTGTAATTTTTAAAAGTCATATCTACACCTAAATTCCTACAAGCTTAAATAATAAAGTGCAACATAATGTAACTTTTTGATAGTTTCAAACTTCTATGTAAACGATATGTTACGAGAATAGCTGTAATATTTCCCGACGTACCTTGTCCGGAATGGACACGCTGGCTGCCATCTTGTTTGCTGTGGGAATCAATGAACATTAAAATGTTGGATCGCTGTAATCTGAAAACATGCAGCACAATAATATACTCGGCAATGGTTGAAGAAACGAATCAATATACGCAAATTAAAAAAAATAAAAATTATCGTATTGAACCTAATAAGATCTTTTTTTTTTTTTCATTTTACAAAATGTTGAATATTTTATACAATAAATCCATGTCATTGGAGGTTAGGACAAGAATTCGTGCATGCTATATTGAGCCAGTTTTAACATGCGGCTGCTAAGCCTGGACAATTAACAAACAACCTGAACAATTTCTTGAGGCCTCGGATTTGTGGTTGCACAGAAGAATCTTTATAATTTTCTGGACAGCTAAGAAAAGAAAACCAGATGTTTTGAAATAGGCGAATGTTTGAGAACAACTTGTCACAAACATCAGGAAGAAAGTGTCATCACCTTTGGTCATGTTGTGGGAAAAGGGAAATGGAACATGTTGTGACAAATGAAAAGATCTGAGGAAAGAGAAACAGAGGAAGACAGCGTGAGCAGATTCTTGACAGTCTTTTATCACAGTACAGGGAAGAGGTATATCAGCACACGAACTGATACACAGATCGTTGACAAGGCACTTGACGATGCTTTTTGTGTGTGTGTTGTTGTTGCTTGAAACAGACTAGGGCCGTCTTCACTAATAGCCACTCATGGGGCCCCCACATGCGTATGGGCCCCATGCTAATATGTATATGTCAAGTGACTTGCCATTAATAAAATATGTTTGACGTTTTAATTAATTTTGTGTAAAATACAACATAAATTATGTCCATCCCTTCTTTTGTCACCTAACATTTAGTTAAAGGGGGCAATAAAATAAATATGTGTTGAATATTATCGAACATTGACATTTCACTTATGCGACGAATATGAAGGTAACTGCACACACAGGAGAGTTTTGCAATGACTCAAACGACTGTCTGCGTAACCAGCCTACTTCTACCCATGGATCATGCTCAAAGAATCACTTAGAACACACACGCTGGGATAGAATTGTGATTCTAGCCACATGAAAGATTGTGTCACCACCATCACCTCCAACGTCATGCGAGCTGTGTATCTTCTTCTTCTTCGCGTTCACCAGCTGTACACTCTGGCGGAAAGTTCTGGTTGCTCGTCCACTACTGAACTGCAGTCCTGCTCCAGAACCTGAGTGTTGCGTGTGCATCAGTTTTACGGATCTCATTCTCTTGAATAGAGACTGTTGGTTCCTTGCCTCTCCGGCAGATGCACTCCGACTTCAAAGGAAGCTGCCCAATTAGTCGACTCTTACGACATGCTTTAGGGGAGGCAGTGGGTCTATTCTTGTTTTAGCCCTCAATGGGGCCCCGGAACCCACACGGGGGCGAGCTGTAAATTTGCCCATGCACTCTTATGTCCTCGTATAACATACCCGTCTGTGAAGATCACCACATCAATCTCATCTGACTTGTCACTGATAAGCGCGCATACCTCGGCATTAACATCAGCTGGATTCTGCTTTCAACAACTGCAATCGAGTGTCACGACACAGGAGAATGTGAGATTGAGCTCTTTAGACGCTGGTATCCATTTCTCACCTGGGTGGATTTCTATAAGGCTGCAAACCTGCATGATGTCATCCTCTGCCCTACCCAGCCATGGTTTGCCATTTAAGCCTGTTGCCCTTTTCCTTGAAGGGCATGTGGTACAAAGGGTGCTTCAGATCTGAGCTTATCTTGAGGTATGCACGAGCCCTTCAGATCTGAGCTTATCTTGAGGTATGCACGAGCCCTTCAAATCTGAGCTTATCTTGAGGTATGCACGAGCCCTTCCAGATCTGAGCTTATCTTGAGGTATGCACGAGCCCTCCAGATCTGAGCTTATCTTGAGGTATGCACGAGCCCTCCAGATCTTGATCCTGTACTTCATTGTAGAGAAGTCCAGAAAGTACCTTGTTGCTACACAAGAGGTATCTCCAGTGCACCCTAGAATAATGCGCATTGCTTCGTTTTGCACCTTCTCAAATCTTTCAGTCTGAGAATACCTGACAGTGAGGATGGCTAGAGCATATTCGATGGGAGAAAGTACAAGTCCCTGAAGCAGAATCAGAAGCAGTCTCGGCTGAGTATTAGGGGCGGCCAGGACCCTCATTGCTGACAGGCCTTTTGCTTTTGTTATGACATGATCAACTTGTTCTTTGAAGGACAGGCTGCGATCAAACCTCACTCTGATTTGTCATCAGATTTGTTCTCGTCAAAATTTCCTCGCTGCTTTCACTATATGAGAACCAAGGAGAACCACGTTACTGAGGCCTTCGCAGGGTTGACATGAGCATTAGAATCTGAACACCAGGAGGAGATGCGATTAAGTTCATTCTGCATTGACTTGGCAATATCTTGACGATCTCTTCCATGTCGATATACCAAGACATCATCAGCAAATGTCAAGGTCCTGCCACTCCCATGCAACTGCTGCTCAGCTATCGGCACTGTGTACACGTTGAAAAGCACTGGAGACAGCGGAGAACCTTGAAGCAATCCTGGGCTGATGGTTATCGCTTCTGAGGACCAACAACCACACCTGAGTATCACCCGTCTCTAAAACAGTGCTGCGGCTACCCAGCGGTTGATTAAGGGAGATACCTGCAGCCAGAGAAGTATGTGCACCAAGTATTCAAATGGTATTCTGTTGTATGCATCCTCTAAGTCTAGTGCAGCTGCACATGTCTCGTCTCTCATCTGAAAACCTTCATAGACTTCACAGGCGAAAACTACTTCATTGAGCCATGTCTCTTTGCTTCGTCTGTATCCTCCAACTGTAACAGGGTACATTTTAAATAGGGTATAGAGAAGAAGAGGGGATATATAGAAGCAGAGAGAGAGAGAGAGAGAGAGAGAGAGAGGAGAGACAGACAGACAGACAAGAAGAAATAATAGGTAAAGGATGTATGAGAGGACAATAGGTTATCCTATGTGGTGAGTGAAGTAATAAGTCTTTACCCCAAACGATCAGGTAATAGTCAGGGGAGATATGAAAGAGAGTAGTATAGTAAAGTGGTGGTACAAATACTACAGCAACTAACAATAATAGTTCCACTCCTATACTCAACAAACTAACGATGGAATAAAAGAACAACAACTAACAATCATGTTTATTAAGAAACAGAATTACAAAGTCGTATATCTTATATTTCACAACCAACATGACCTTGATGCAAAAGATGTTACACTAAGTTATAAACAGCACGTCCTCGCACTATAAAACCTCAGATAGTTCAACATGACCTTGATGCAAAAGATGTTACACTAAGTTATAAACAGCACGTCCTCGCACTATAAAACCTCAGATAGTTCAACATGACCTTGATGCAAAAGATGTTACACTAAGTTATAAACAGCACGTCCTCGCACTATAAAACCTCAGATAGTTCAACATGACCTTGATGCAAAAGATGTTACACTAAGTTATAAACAGCACGTCCTCGCACTATAAAACCTCAGATAGTTCAACATGACCTTGATGCAAAAGATGTTACACTAAGTTATAAACAGCACGTCCTCGCACTATAAAACCTCAGATAGTTCAACATGATCTTGCAACTGACAGCAAAATCTACTCTCATCATCATCAGGTGCCTTGCTGACTAGCGTGGGCGATCATGCCTCTCCATAATCAACTATTTCCAGCATGTATCAGTTCGTGTGCCGCCATACCTCCATGCCATGCAACAAGACTGTCAAGAATATTCTCTCGTTGTCTTTCTCTTTCCCTCCTTCCACAGATCTTTCCAGTGGTCACAACGTTCTATTTTTCC